TCCCTACAAACACTTGCTCTAGAACTCTGGAAAAGATCCCGTTCCCCCCATAAAAAGCAATGGATCAGGATGGCCAGGGGATACCTGGGGGTCATTAAGAGAGCAAATTTGATGCTATTTGTTCTAAAATCCACCAGCTCCAGAACGATTCCTTATTACCCCATAGGAAACAACAGGCCCCTATGGGTTTGTGGGTTTTTTTGGGGGGGGGACCCTGAAAATGAACCCAAACCAGTATGGGGATATCTGAAAAGTCAAGCACCCCATTTCCAAACCTGAATTTTTTCAAATGTACCTGGCCATGAGTTATTTCCCCCTGCATGCTATATAACCTCCTGCTTACTCATGGAAACACAAGCAGCAGCCTTGTACCGAACCAGGCCATTGGTTCACTCAAGCCAATTGTCTGATTGTATTGTCTACTCAGACTGGCAGTGGTTCTCCAAGATACAGGTGGAGGTCTTTACCATCACCTACTACCTGATCCTTTTAACTGCAGATGATGGGTATTGAACCTGGGACCTCCTGCATGCCAAACACGCATTTCCACTGAGCCAAAGCCCTTTGTGCTGTGAAGCCAACTCTACAGCATTCCTGAGGGATGGCTGTCTATTCTCTGCATGAAGGCCTCCAGCAAGGGAGAGCTCACCTCCACTAGGGAATTTGGTTCCATTGCTGGTCTGCCTCCGCAGCTTCCACATGGAGACAGTTCTCCACATGGCTGCTGCAAATGCAGAGGCAGTCAGCTGCAGTGAAACACCCACAGTTCCCTTCATTTCCCTTGCCTTAGCCTTTGGGGTGGCCGCCGCTTTCCGCTTGGCCAGGGTTTTAAAAATTAATTCTCAGCTCTCATTTTTTTAAAGACCATTCTGTTGTGGAGTTATAAGGGGAAATGTTTCCCCTTATCATATTAGGTGCTCAGAAAAACAACTGCTGGAAACAAGGCAAAGCCAAACCTCCTTGTGGAAAAGTCTCTTCTAATGTCCAGCCCGAAATGACCCTTCTGTAACGTAAGCTTACTGGACCACAGCACAGGATCCTGCAGTGTGTGGATGCAGGTCAGGAGACTCTCCTCCAGGCTAAACGCACCCAGCTCCTTCAATCTTTCCTTGTAGGACTTGTTTCCCAGATAATCTGACCATCTTCATTGTCCTCCTTTGAACCCACTCCGTTGTCTGTGCCTTTCCACCCCAGCGTCATTCATGGATAAAGGCAACTGAGTCGCTCCATTCCCTCTGTGAGAACTGCTCGACAGGAAAGCAGATCCAGACAACAATCACAAGAAGGAATAACCAGTCATTGTTATTACATCTTCTTACATTGTCACATACTTACAAATTACAATCCAAGAGAGTACAACGGCTGCACAGGGCCGGCGAGATCAGCTCTGGCACACCTCCGCATCCCCCACCCCACCGCTCCTGGGCGGTGTGTCGTCCCGTTTCCGCTCCACTTCCGGGGCTTGCGCAAGAGGTTCTCCAAGCTCCCAGAAACTTGTGCTGAACTGCCGGTCCCAAACAGTGTAAATTACATTCAGTCTGCGAGACCTGACCGCCCCCTTTCCATCCCACAAGCCCCAGGCTCTAGTCTTCAAGGCAGCGCGGCCCAAAGGCAGGGAGAAGAGCTCTGAGGCCCAGGTGCAGGGCGGGCCCCTCTCTGCTTCCTGCCGCACCATGTCATCGGGCCCTTTTCCTTCTCCACCTAGAGGCTAGAAGGGGGGCACAGGTCTCGTGCAACACCATTGCCAATACATTCATGAGCTTGTTCAGGTTCAGAAGGACAGAGGGACAAGGGGGAGTGATGCGGCCTGGGTGGGCTTGTGCTTCTTGCCCACAAGCTAAGCTCCAGTGGGTAGAAACACCAGAGGCCCGAGGGGGGGGGGAGGCAGGCTGGATTAGAAGTGAGTACTATGGGCCGGCCCCCCCAGCCACTGAAGTGGCTGCCTCTGGCCGACTGCTCATACCCCACCCAGATTTCCCCACGCTGGGGAGGGGAGGGGGAGTTCATTGCATTACCCTGATCACAGATTTGAAATAAAGCCTGAGACCACGTCACTCACAACCACACGGACACCTCTGCCACGGCGAGCGACAGGAGGCCTGTAAACACGTGCACCAGGAGAGCTGCCAAACGGGCCCAGGGGGAGGGGGAAGGGGGGAGACAGAGAAAGAAGGTTTTTCTTTTCCTTTGTCCAGCTCTCAAAATGAAGCAATAAATTAAAAACAAAGGAAGAAATAGTAGTCAGGAAGGGGCTTTTTACAAAGGAACCCTAGAAAAAGGAGTCGTTTTAAAAGCCGGGGGCCCTGTGGTGCTTTGCAAGGACTCTCCTCCTAGCTTTGGCTGGGTGCTCAGCATCCAAACGCTGCCCTGTGAATCTCTCAGAGTTGCTCAGGGTCTCCCTTGCTGCATGGGGAGGGTGTGTGTGTGTTGGGGGGTGTACCCCTTGTGGGCTGGCAGAGGAATGTTGCTTCGGCTTTTAGCTGCCTTTTTGAACTGCTCAAAAGGGGAGGGTCGTTGGGGTTTTTTTTAAGAACAAGGAGACAGGAAGAGGCACCCTGGAGCCTTTAGGAATCACATATATATATTTTTTTCAGTGCAAGGATCAGGTCCAGGAGCCTGAGAAGAGTGGGGAGGAAGGGACGGACGTCAGTGCAGTTTGCATCAGGAGTGGGGGGTGGTGCGAATGGTGGTTGTCCTCAGGATGCCTGAAGGATGGAGTGAGACCGTGGATTTGAACCTACCCCAGGGAGGACTGTTTGGTCCTGGCTGAGAACACAGAGAGAGCCCCAGTGGGCCCCCCAGGCAGTATCAGAGTGTCTTTTCCTGACGGCCTCTGTGCTATAGCCTTGCACAAATTTTGGTCAAATAAAAATGCGGCAGGGAACGGGGAATGAGGAGCACTCTCTGGAAACCCCTTACGGTTTTAGAGAATCACCCCCACCCTCCGGGAGCAGATGCGGAGGCTTGTGTTGCTTCCCTAGAAGAACAGGTGGCTGGTGCCAAAAAGGGATTCTCCAGGCTTCCTTCCCTCCCCCTACAAAGGCTGCTGATCTGCCATGGGAACGTCTCATCCTCGTGCTGTAGGAGAGCTAATTCAGGAGCTGATGTGGGGTGGGAAGCAAGTGCCTCAAGGGCGGGGGGCTTGGCTCAGAATTTTAACTGGTCCCCCCCCCCTCCTTGGGCAGGGATGGATGGCAGTGTGAATCTCCCCTCCAAGCTATGTATACACAACTTTGCTCCTGGAAGATGGGAAATCTCGAGAGATCGAGCTGATCACGCCAGTGTCCCTGCAGTGCCGTTGTGTCTGATCAGCTCTGCACCCCCAAATACTGAGATATTGAGGAAGGCAGATAAGGGGTGGTGGTGGTGGTGGTGGAGGAGAGAATGTCCGCTTAAACCAAATCAGTGGCAGGGACATTTCCTCTGTAACCCCTGGCCCCTGCTCCTTGGTCCCTTTTAGCAACCCCCCCTGTCATTTCCATGCCCACTGGTTAGTTGAGGTGGGTCACTTAACCACTCCAATAACACGGATTACATTCCACCTTCGAAGCTTGTTACAAACACAGAAAGAAAGGAAAAAAAAGTCCCCACGTCACCACTTGCCCCTTCCATCCCCAAAGGTCCCCATTAACTGGGAGGAGGGCGAAACAGTCCTAGGCCCCCCTGATCCTTCACTCCAAGCCATCGGGGGTCAGGTTGCGGTCGCGGTTCCCTGCAGGGTTCAACCGCCTGCCTGTAGAGATGGCTGTTGCCCTGGAGACCAGCAGAGCGGCCCCAACAGAGGGAGCCAGAGGCCCGGCCTAAGGGAGAGTCATGAGCCACAGAGGCAGTCCTAGTGTGGCAGCCTGTGCCGAGCACAGCTGTTGCAGAAGGGCTCAGGGGAGGGGGATGGCAGCCACCACATCCTGCGTGTGACAGGAAGTCTTGAGCCAAGGCTCCTTGGCACGGAGCCCGAATTGCCAGAAGGGAGTGTGGGTCTCCACAGGGAGAGGAGGCATCAGTTGCTGCACCCCTGTTGGCACCACCGGGATGGGGAAGATGCTCCTCCCAGCATGCTACACCAGGGCAGTCCGAGCCTCGGTCCTTCCCACGCTGGCACTGCTGCTTTTCCGGCGCAGGCTGGGGGTGGGGATAGTGCTGTAGCCTTCGTTCGGGCAACCGTGTTGCAAGACAATGTCGATGCACTCCTGGCTCCCCGATCGGCGGGCGCAGAAGAGCGCTGTGTGCCCCAAGGCATCACGGGCCTTCACATCGGAACCGTACTGTGGAGGGAAGAACAGGCGTTAGAGAGGCTGAGAAATGGAGTCTATGCACTCCCACACAGGCCTGTCTGGGGAGCTGGACAACTAGTCCTTCAAAGGGGCAGTTGGGCATGTGGCACCTGACACCCACTGCTCCTCAAGCCAGGAAAGGGGGCTTCTCTTGTCCCCAGCCCTTCCTTCCGGAGGCAGGCTTTCCCCAACCCCTTTTTCTATCCTTCCCCCAATCTGCTATAGCTGGTTGAAGATGCTTTCCGTCCTCAGTCCCCAGCCAGCATAAAAACAGACCATAAGCAGCTTACAATAACAGTTTCCAGGGTAAGTATTTTAAAAAATCAACCCCTGAATTAAAAAGACTGGGTGAACGGAAAGATTTTGGCCTGGTGCCTAAACGAAAGCAATGCGGGTACCATGTGAACCTCAAGAGGAAGGGCGTTCCACAAGTGAGGTGCCCTGTCTCTGGTTGCCAGCCCCCCGCCTCCTCTGAAGACGAGGGCATAGAAAGCAGGGGATGTGAGACAAATCTTCATTGGCTGGTTGGACAGTATCAGAGGAAGCCACCTAGGGCTTGTCATATCTCGCTATACCTTTCCCCAGCCACATAACCATCAGCCTACCAAGCAAAGCTGGAAAGCAGATTAATTCTTTCTTCAAAACTTCCATCCCTGCCACTCCATTACCAAAACCCACTCAGTCAATGATATCGTCTTGTTACTGGTCTACACACACCAGCCACTGTCAACGTGCTATCCTGTTCCCCCAGGGGCAATCTAGTGAAATGGCCGCAATTCCTTGTTCAACTCCAACTACCCTGTGGGCCAGTGCTGGAGCATCTGCTCTGTACACAGAATGCCCCAATATTCCTCTTCTCTGGCATCTCCAGGTAAAAGGATTAGAACTCGGCCTGAGGCCCCGGAAAGCCATTGCCTGCCATAATAGACAATACTGACCTTGATAGGCCAAGGGTTCTTTGACTCAGGATCAGGGAGCCTCATGTGTTCACTTTGTAGCAGCCTATTCCCCTTGTGGCACGGGCCTGTGCTAGCCTGTTCTCTCCTGCTCTGGCTTTAAACATTCAGAGCTGGAGCCTGGGAAAAAGATGCCCAGCTAAGCAGGAATGGCTTGGCATTGGACAATCCACTGCTATGGGTTGCAGATGATGTCACAAATGCTTGTGTGTACTGATAGGCTACATGTAAGCTTTTCCATTGAGGCAAACAGGTGTTCTGCATGGCCATTTCAGTTTGGGAACACAGCACAGGTAAGAATGCACAAGTTCCCTCTCCCTGTGGACTATCCCAACACAAATTATACTCTACAGTCCTGAGAATGTAAACTTCTGTCAGGCACTCCCGGTGTACATCTGCTTAACAGGACCCAGGGACAAACCATGAAACACTGTATTGTGTATTTGGACTCTAGGGTTGCATCAGCTTGGAGGCACAGGCTACAAGAGTTTGCCCTAGGTCCATCATGCACCTGTGGACTGGATTTCCTGTAGTGCATGTCATACGATACTCTGTGCATAAAAACCAGCCCTCGCTCTTGCTTTTGTTCCATTGGATGTCTCTTTTGGGGTGGGGAACAGTGGGATGGGGATAGCTCCTGACCTTGGTGTGCCTGTCTTCTGCCAAGCTCTTACCCAGACCAGGAGTTGAGTGATGACCACGTTCCCCAGGTCACACGCCACATGTAAGGCTGAGCGCCGGTCCTTGTCCCCAGTAGGGGCATTGATCTGTTCCTTGGAACTGTGAGCCAGCAACAGCAGCACAGCACTTAGGTCCTGGTCCTGCACAGCCTGGAAGAGCTGGCACCCCAGGGGCAGTTCAGAGGCGGGCAGTGGTGCCAGGAACAGACGTTGCTCATATTTGGCTCGGATCCACGATTCCCGCTCTTATTTTTTAGACAGAGAGAGAGAGAGAGAGAGAGAGAGAGAGAGAGAGAGAGAGAGAGAGAGAGAGAGAGAGAAACAGACTGTTCCATCACAGAAGTACCACTGAGTATCTATCTGGTGAACAAAGTGAGGATGGGAGGGGCATTGTCTGTGGCACCCTTAGAATTTATTTAATGTACTAAAATATTTATATCCCACCTTTCCTCACAGCTCAAGGTGGCTTACATAAAAATCCTCAATTTAAAAACAGCAAAATAAAACCCCAGATAATCCCAGTCCACCCAAAAGACATCTGCAGTCTACACAGGGGTCATTTCCTGCAGGAGTGCACAGGAGTGGAGCTCCGGCAGTAAAGAGCCCAAGGGGCGGGCACATGCAACAAGCCCCACCCCCTGCTCCCAGCAGCCCTCAGTCAGAGCAAGAAGCAGCCAGGTAAGCTGCAGAGCCCCCCCCCCGGCCCCCTGGTCCAAAACAGTCCAGTGGCACCTTTAAGACCAAGGTTTATCCAGGTACATGCTCTCCCTCCTCTGTGAGGACAAATCTGCACGCCCCCCCCCCATAGCTAGCAATCCAAAACAGTCCAGTGGACCCTGAGCGGTGGGTGTTGCCTTCTGACATACTTCCGGTGATGTCAGGGGGTGTGGCATATGCAAATAGGTTATGTTAATAAGTTATGCTAATGAGCTCCTGCACCTCTTTTTCTACAAAATGACCCCTGAGTCTACATATCTAGATGCCGTGAAGTCACAATCAACTTCTGGCGACCCCAGCAAGAGGCTTTCAAGGCAAGTGAGAAGCAGAGGTCGCTTGCCGTTGCCTCCCTCTGCATCGTCTCCCATTCAAGGACTGACCCTGCTTAGCTTCCAGATCTGATGAGATTGGGCTGCACCATGCCACCTTCCCACCTGCAGTCTATCACTCTAAAAGCTGTGGCAAAAAAACAAAAAATGGCCTTGCATCATCTCCTGAACATCTGTAAAAGAAAGCACCCCCCCATCCTCTTCAAGGAGTTCATGACACAAGGTGGGATCTACAGCAGAGAAGGTGTGAGCTTTGTGGCTGATACCAGGTGGGGAACAGACAGTAGGTGGCAGCCTGAGGACGGTATTGGGTGAATGGCAATATATGGGAGCAGACAGTCCTCCCTGTGCAATCCTAAGCAGAGTTACACCTTTCTGAGCCCATTGACTTCAATGGCTTTAGAAGAGTATCAGTCTGCTAAGGACTGCACTATTACAGTCCTTCCTGGGAATAAGCCCCATGGACCAGACTCGCACTGGATCCTAAGTAGACATGTTTTTATTCACTGTGGATCCACAGGGATCCAAAACAGAATCGAAGGCTCAAGGCAGCAGAAATCAAACACTAAGATAGCATCTGAAATTAACCCCCTCCCAAAGAGTTCCTACAAAAAACTTGGAACTCACATTTTATTAACAACTGCATGTTATACATACAGCTCTCCAGTGAAGCAAGTAACACCCCTGAGGACATTTTGGGACAGGAGAACAGCACTGGAGGGATGGAGCCCCTCCCCAATCCTAAACTGGCCAATGAAGTGCTAGGGATCTTTGTTCCAAGCAGTTGCTATCTGACTATAGAAGTATGAGAGTTGGGTTGGGGGACCCCAGGCCCGACTCATGGGGAAATGTCACCACTCGCTTGACCCCAACTAATTTGCTTAATTTATACAATCTACTGAACTCTTTTCTTGGCCCAGATTTTGGGTTACTTTGACTCGGTATGTTCCCTGGTATGCATGCCTGATGACAACAATCTCTAACTCTCAAGGCAGTAGATAAACTCCGAGCTTCAGCATGTTCCACTCACCGGGATGATTCACAGGTGGGTTTCCGGCGTCCCTGTGTGCACTTCTCCCAAACACTGTTGGCTGTTTCGTTGCCAATGGAGGTGAGGACCAAGGTGAGCTCCAGGGGCCAGTCATCCAAGTCGAGGGAGCGTACCCGTGACAGGTGGGTGCCCAAGTTCCGGTGGATGCCGGAGCACTCGATACAGATCAGCGCTCCCAGGTTCAGACTGGCCCAGGTGGGGTCTGGGGAAAGGAAATTGGCCAGTCAGAAACTGGGGAAGGATCTTGCCTCTCATTCTTGATAGAGGAGGGCCACTTTCATTTCTGCTCCAATCATCCCTGCCTGTTTCTCTTCCCCTGAAATTCTGTGCTCCTCCTGTTCAGCGAACATTCGCACACTAATGATCTGCTTTGTTCCCTTCCCTCACATTTGCTGCTGGGTCTCCTACCGATCCCATTCTTTATGCCTGAAAACAGAACAGCACCCTGTGTTAAGCAGCTTCCAGAAAATTCTCTACAGGCAGTTTGTCAATCCAGATTTCTCCACAGATTTCTCTACAGGCAGCTTGTCAAATCAGACCAGACCTCTGAGATAAAAGCTACACAGGAGGGCAGTAGACCCACACACTCGAGAGCAGCTTTCCCAGAACCACACCTAAAGCCGTAGTGGAGATGGAGGTGTAGTTTAAAGCATCCAAGAGGTAGGCAGTCAGGCAGGAGATGCTGAACCCCACAAATACTATTATCCCCACTTTCAACCTTATCTTTTGTCCTGATCTCATATGGGAAACAAATGCGTGGGGTGGGGGAGGCTGTGGAAGGAAAGATGGCAAGACCGCCCCAGGCTTCTCTGGCACTTTGAATCACTCCCCTCCTCTCTCCCTCTCTCTCTCACACACACACACACACAGAGTTTTAGATGTGATAAGTACAGGTCTGAGTATGAAGACACAAGTCTTTCACCAGTGTGTTTGGGATTGAAACGAGAAAGAGTAGTGTTTACAAGTGGGACTTTTCATTTAAACTGGTAGTTTTCTTTAAGGAAAATACAATGTAGACTCTATTCTTGAGGAGGGGAATGATTTTTTAAAGTTCTGGGCAGGGACTGGAAAAGCCTGCCATATCCACACTTCACCCCATGTCCCTGTTACAGTATATCTCTGTGCTGGATTTTAATTATTTTATGCCTCTTTGGGAACTAATCTTGGGTGGAAAAGTGGGCAATAAATGTGATCAATAAATACATCTTTTTTGCCCTGACACTTCAGTGATATAGACAATAAAGAGAAGCAAGATGCTGACACTCAAGCATCTTATTCTGGTAGTTATGAAGGCAGTCTTTTTAATTTATGATAACTGGGACACAGATTTTCTGAATGAGATGGCATGTAGCAATCTCCATCATTTTAAGATTATATAATAAACTGAGCATGATTGGACTCTTGATGCATCTTGGCCCTAGTTTTAATTATGACTTTAAAAAGTGCAAACACAACTAAAAAGTCATGAAAAGCCACTAAAAGTGTAAATGGAAGTTGATTTTTTAAAAAGTCCACTTCTTTATCTGTAATGTCCATTCTAGTCAAATGCCCAGTTGATACAAATCTTCTGCAGGAGATCCAGTTGGCTTTCCCTTTTGTGTTACAGGTATTATTTGCTCAGCATTCAACCCGCAATGTGATGTTTGTTGCCAAGGAAATATGATTCCCCTCTTCTTACTGTGTTATTTACAGTGACAGATGCCCAGTGCAATGTGACATGTTCAGTACACTGGTACCCAGTGCACAGGCAAGAGAAGTGCTTACTCAAGGCCCCGCAGTCCACACACAAGGAATTGCCTTTGGCATTCCGGATGGCCTGGATGGCCACTGCTTCGCTCTGGCTGTCCATCCGAGCCTACAGGGATGATAAAAGAAAGGGACAAGGCAGTCAGGGGAACTGACTTTCTGCTAGCTTTGCTCAGGGCTTGAAGCGAAGTACCATGGAAATCCACCACTGTACAGTGTGCAAGTAAAATTTGCAGAGCACTTGGATCTCACAGAGTCAAGTGATTTCAGCAACTTCTTCCTTTAACTTGCTCTTCCAAACCTGGTTCTTGGCATATATCCCCCATCTGCAACAATGTAGCAAATGGAGGGCCTGCCTTGCTCAGCCAGCCCCAGGAGAGGTAGCAGAGCTTTTTCTGTGGTGGCCTCTGCTTTATGGAATGCTTGGTCCCAGAAGATTAGCCAAGAAACACCCTCTCTCATCTGATGTTAATAACTCAAACCCTCCTTTCCTCTGCCTCTATCAATCACCTCTTAATCTTGTCCTAAGACCCTTGGAGAAAGGATATACAACATATACAAAGCTCCCCATCTCCATTTTATCCTAACAGCAACCCTGTGAAGTAGGTTAGGCTGAAAGTGCATGACTGGCCCAAGGTAACTCAGTGAGCTTCACAGTTAGAGTGGGGATCTACGCCTATGTGTCTGCAATCCCTGTCTGTCACTATAACCACGACATAACTTTGGTTGTCACTACACAAGAAACTCTTTCCACCATCTGACTGATATTACCAACTGCTATTGCTATTTTTAAGTTATTTTGTGCAGTGATTTTAATCTCGTATTACACTGTTGTTTTCACTGTAATCCTGTATATTTTTGCAACTTGTTTTCAGTACTGATTTTTTAAATGCCTGTAGGAAGGTAAACAATAACTCCAAATAGTAGCCTAGTTCTTACTAAGAAGGTAAGCCTGTGTTTGGGCTGAACACTTCTAGATTAGGAGGGGGCACTTGTATGACCGAATGCTCCTCTATACAAAAAATAAACCTCTGCTGACAGAAAACTAGATCGCAGGCCAAGCTTTATTATCCTTGACATGCTCATTTTCTAAATGTAGGGATTTATTTTTTATTTTTGCATTCAGTTATGGGACCCTATAGCCTAGACACAGATTTACTACCTTGGTGAGAACTAGTTAAAAAATCATCAATATCTACTTGTAACTGCCTTTGCTCATATTTCTTCTTCTACCCCCCAAATCAATGCTCAGATTTGTAAATTCCTTGGGAAGAGACCTAATTTTTTTGTATGCTTATGCTGTAAATATCATGTACTCTAAACTTCAAATAACATTTTCTGGTTCCAGCCATCCAGTTTGTGGATGCCAATACTCAGCAGTTTTAAACGCAAGGTGGAGGGTGATAACCCTTGCCAACACATCATAGCCTTAACCCTTAAGAAAACTACCCGGTGTTCTTTTATTCTCAGGGCAGACAGATGTAACATTTTGAGAGTAACAGGGCCAGTCTGGAATTGTTCTCCTTTCAAAAGTATCTATGCCATCTGGGTTGAGCTTTGGAGGGAAATTTTTTTAAACATGATTCTGAAATTGAAGCAGAAGCTAGTTGTTTTTATATTACATTGGTCTTCACTAGTATATCACATCTGTCTTCACACTGAGCTCCCTTCTACTGAGTTCTGAGTCTCATCCTTGCAACTGACTAACTCCTGTTGAGCTACAGATCCTCCCAGGCCCAAACTCTTGCTGGCTGTGCTAGCCACTCTTGGCTCCTGCACCATTCCAAGATACATGGATACCCATCGAGGGAGACCACTGTTAGATAAGCCTAGAAAAGAAAGGGGGAGTCAGTACCTTGTTCTTGCTGCTCTCGCAGCATTGCAGGCTAGCCAAGATCTGGCTCTCAATGGCCTGGACCCAGGAGTCTCTTTCCTCAAAGCTGCTGGCCTCAAAGTGCCACGTCTGTCCTGTGCTGGAAACGATGATGAACTCAAAGTTCTCCTCCTCTGTGGGTGCAAAAGAGCAGGCTAAGGCAGGGCTGCAGCTGAGATGGGGGGTCATCCTGCACATTCCAACAAATGCTGGCCTCTTTCTTCCCTATGCTCGTGT